ATGATTATTTTCTGGACCAGAAATATAGATAAGAATATGGGGTCCCTAGAACTTCAGATTCCTTTGTTAACCGTAAAGCTTTTATTTGGTCTCTTGTGTGAAACAGAACAGCTGTGACATTAATAGACTGACTTAATTGAAATACTGACGGGTTATTCTCTTTCCTTAAGAAAACATTTTATTTATTTTCTTAAATGTTTGTAGACAGATGTTAGGGAGATTCATTTCTCTAGAATTGTTTTTTGGTTGTTTTTTTTTTTAGTTTTTTTTAATACTAATATTGTTGAGTGGTAGAATGGAACATTCTGGACACTTTTTGAAAGGTTGATGGTAGACCTATAAATGTGTGACTTTCCTACTATGAATGGAAGCAAACTAGGAGATTCGGAGCTCTGCTTAGCTATAGGGAGACAGCATAACACAATGGCAGGAGCATTGGCTTAAAACTAAAGAAAACTAAGTTCTGTTCCGGATTCTGATACAAATTCTCTAGGCCGCATCTGCAAAATGAGGATGTTCACCCAAATGACTCCGAAAGTCCTTTTTAGTTCTGAGATGGCCTATATTGACATGCTCTTTTTCTACCGAACATAGAAAAGATGAGTTTGAATGTCAAGGAACTGTTCCCTGGCACCAAATGTTTCACCAATGGAAGTTCAGAATTCTTCAGAAGAGTTTAAAAAGGGAAAATCAGCCCCCTAGACTATGGTATGTGCAGACTTCCAAAAGAGTATAAGGGGGAGGTGCTTAAGGTCCCTGACCAGGAGATTCTCCATTCCACTTGCGACTGTTGATGGTGACAAATGGAAATGGTATTCTAGAGCGCCAGATCTGCTGGGTGGATTAACGACGCTTAGTGTATGTAGTACACACCCCTGACAATGGAGCCTCTCTCCCCTCTGCCTGATGCTCTTCAGGCAATGATATCATATGTGGACATTCGCTAAAATCACAGAAGACAGTTGCTATAGTTTCTAGCTTAACTGTCAGTGACTACTTGGCAAAAAGAGATAATGACTAAAATTTTTCCATTAAAAAAGTTCACTAATCCTGCTCCCTGAGTATTTTTTAAAATTTCTTTTCTCTTGGTTTTATTGAATTATTTGAAATCAGATATTTAAAGTGTATTATACTTTAATCCTTTGGATAGAATAAAATAGTTTGTCAATTTTAAAATGAAAAACATCTTAAACTTTAATTATGCCTTTATTTTCTCCTCTGCCACATGGGGGTCAGAATTCTTTTTTTATTAAATATATTATAATCACAGATGTAGTTATAATCTAAATATCTTAAAATCCATATGATGTAGCAATGTACCTCTTCTTTCTTCTTTTTCTTATTGCCTCAAAATTGGAAATTTACCTTTATTTTTAGCATCTATTTTAGCATGGTGACACGAAAGGCAGGTTTTTTTACATGTTTTGTATAGTCTGCATTTCACAACTGTTATCACAAACTGATCAAGCATGAATTGCCTTTAAATTCTTTTCTGCTGTTAATGTGAACGCTACAAATTTATTAAAAGCAAATAGTCCTCATATTAAATATGCAGATGGTTTGTAAGGCCTTAATAGAAGACAGTTGTGCTGGACAGAGTTATTCCTGCCTCAAGTGATAAATATTCAAGCTAATAACACTTTGTGTTTATATAACTAGCTCCTTTGAGAACTTTGGTACTTTCCTATGATTAGTGTTAGGGAACTGTCGCTGTCTCTTTCAGAAACAAACTCAATTACAGAATTTTGTTGTATGGCATGTGATTTAGAGTCAAAATATAATTTGGTGGCTTTAAATATTTTATCCTCAGCATGCCTTAAAAGTACTTCAGGAAAGTTAGTGGGAAATTCATTATTTGATGTTTATCTTGGGAAAATCATCAAAATGATCAAATGATCAAAAGTTTCAAATAATAAAACAGTCAGCTGGAAAAAAACTTGCCACATCCTTTTGCCACATGCTATAAGGCTTTATAAAAAAGACTCTGGTGATTCAAGTTTTCGCCTTCTCTTGCCAACACTCGTAGTATTACATGCTTTATTTTACAGTGATCCAATTCCCCGTTTCATCCTGCTATATTTTCTAATGGATTGTTTTGCTGTTGTTGTTGTTGTTGTTTTCTCAAGAGCTTGGAGGAAAAGCTTAATTAAGTGCCTTAGTAGAGCATTTGGGGAAGGGAGGATAAAAACAGATTATGTTCCTGCTAAGTTCTGTGCTCAATGTCTCCATATTATATGTCTTTTTCTGTTCATAGAGTCATAAAGTCTTTCTCCATATTTCTGAGATAATGTAAATTGATGCTATTCATTTCCAGAATCCTGGAAAGTTTTCCTTAAGAAGAAGTCTACTCAGCACTAAGCTTTGCATGTTAGAAGATGGAAGGTGAAGTTGAAATTAAAAAAAAAAAAAAAACATCATGAATAACTGAACTAATTCTCCATGATTATAAAGAAACAAATCCCAAATTCATCATGAAATGAAACCATTTCACCGTCAAAGAATCACTTAGAAACCTTCAAAACAGAGCCCCCAACTGAAACCAGGTTCTAGACCAGATTGTGAATTTGTCAAAGCCCAGGTTTACCACCTTCCCTTTGTCAGCTAACCAGAGCCCCTTTTCCAGAGCCCACTGTTCATAGGCTAACTCTGGTTGTCCAGATCTTTCCATGTATTCACCGCATTCTTGTTCTCTTTGGCATGGTGCCATGATCCAAGGTTTCCAGGCTTGATCACATCAAAATTTATTTCAAGATCTTTTCTCTCAAGATCTTTTCACCAGGAATTAACTAGCTGTCCTGGAAACTCATTTACACTGATCTGTAAAAGAATGACACCTTCATTATGGTGATTGGTAGGTAATGTACTTCTATCTTAATGGGCATTACGAGAGTCACAATACCGAAAACCAATGGTTTTAAAAATTTACTTTTTATTTATTTTTTACATTTTTTTTAGCTGAGCCATCCTGCCACCTGTTGGCAGCTCAGCTGGGGCCCATGTGGGCAGCGACCTTGTTGCTCAGAGCTCCCATTCTTGAGTGAGCTCTTAACCAACTGAGCCACTCGGCTGGCCCTAAAAATTTACTTTTTAAAAATTATCTTTATCCAGTAATAAAACCTGTTTTCAATTAAGGTTTTATATAAAACAGATATTTGAAAACGCTCTGGTTGAAGTGGGGAATCAGATCAGGGGCCCTCCCCCTGTTGTGTGATGTTTGCAGCCTATCGGTGACTGAGATTGTGGCTGGACCAGCCCTTTTGGTTCTTATTATGATTGCAAGATGCCCCCAGCGATAATCATCAGGAAACTTTGGGGGGGGGGAAAGCGTATAACTATAGGTCCTAGAAATGACATGGCACACCTGAGGCCACATAGCAAGGTGAGGGGGAAGTGGAGAGGTGGAGAGGAAGAGGGTGCAAGGCTGGGGTTCTGCTTTTATTGAGATCAAAGGGGGTGTCATGGATTCAATCTTTATTGGTGATTTTAAAACAAAAGAGCAGGAGTTTCAAGCATGAGAAGAGAAAAAACTGGAGGTCTAAATGCTCGTTATGAAAAACAACCAAGGTCTCTAAAACAAAGAGGGTAGGGGCCTGACTTTTTACCTAGACATGTGGCTGGCAACGTGTTTAGTCAAGATCTTTGAAGTGGATGCATCACAATCAAAGGTTAAGTCAGGCACTTGCATTAAAAAAAAAAAAAGAATAAAAACAGCTGTCAGGGCTTACAGGACAGTCTTATTCTTCCACCAGCTCTCTGAGTGGCTGGCCCCAGAGCACCGCTGAAGAATTCCTGCAGTTCCAAAAACACAGTCTACAAACCTCAGTTCTGCAGCGGAGTGGCTAATGGCGAGACTGTTAGATATACATCTAGCACTTTCAGACCAGTGGTTTTCAACAAGAGATGAATTTGTACCCATCGGGACATTTGGCAATACCTGAATATATTTTTAGTTGTCATAACTTGGGGAGAGAGGAAGGGGGCGCTACAGGCATCTTATGGGTAGAGAAGAGGGGTGTTGCTAAAAATCCTGCAATGTACAGGACAGCCCTCCTCAACAGAGAGTTTTCAGCCTAAAATGTCACAATAGTGCTGAGGTGCAGAAATCCTGCTTTAAAGAGAGTGGGGCTTCTGGAGCTCCTTGGGTTCTTGGTGGAGTGGGGAGGAAGAAAGACTCCAGTCTCTGGAGCCAGAGCCTTAACTAGAGAGCCACTAGGGCTGGGAAAGGCAGAAGAGGCAGAAGCTTTGTAAAATTGTGGGATTTAAACGCTGTTATGTTTGCAAGTCAACTTGCATTGGTCAGCAGCTAGATGCAAAACAACAATAAGAAAAATCAACAGACAAAAAACATGGTAAATAATTATAGTGGGATGAATAATCACCAGTGAGTCACCTCATGAATTCCCAAGTCGAGGGTTTCCTTGCCTGTGGGGTAGAGGCAGGAGCTGAAGCCCTGGAGATGTCTCTGCAGATGTCCCTGGTCCCACCCAGTCCCAGGGGGCAGAGCTGAGGCCAGGTGCCTACACAGGGTGTCCTGGGGGCCCAACCCCCTGTCATCCTTCCTCAGGTGTTAGTGATACCTGCTACACCCGCTTAGCAGCAGGTAGGATGGTAGAGAGGGTCCCCTGGTGGAAATCCCATCCTGCTCTAAATGTCCTATGGGGAAGGCAAGTTCATGTCCCCCGCCCCCAGGTTCCACCTTCTCACCCCAAGAAAATGCTCTCTGACCTAAACTCCTCTCGCCGGAGCCCTTTCTGACCTCAGACCTGGTCACTGCCCTGTGTTGTTACTCAAAATGAGATCATTTTGAAATTTAAAAAGACAAAATATTTGATTACAGTTACTGATTCGGTTAAACGTCTTTGCTCAGTTCCAATTTCCTGAATAGGGTTCATTTAAAGTCCGAGGGGCACCAAGTGACAGTTTTAACCTTGGTCATCGATTCGAAAGGCCTGGAGAGCTTAAGAGGAAACACAATAAGTCCCCCACCCAGCCCCGCAGTCAGGACATAGACAAGGGAAAGAGGAAACCCCCTCGCCCCGGGGCCCCTTTTGTGTTGTTCCTGCCAACGCAGCAGCCAGCCTGCTATACAGACCCGCGGCGCCACCAGCCCATCCACTGAACTTGCACGGTCAGTGCCAACCAGCCATGGGGAAGGTGAGCCCAGCGCCCAGGCCAGGAGGGTCCCCGGCAAACGGGGGTGGGGCCAGGCCTCTGAGCCTCTCTCTCCTTCCCTTCCTTGCAGATCACCTTCTACGAGGAGGACCGGGGCTTCCAGGGCCGTCACTACGAGTGCAGCAGTGACCACTCCAACCTGCAGCCCTACCTCAGCCGCTGCAACTCCATCCGCGTGGACAGCGGCTGCTGGATGCTTTATGAGCAGCCCAGCTACCGGGGCGCCAGTACCTCCTGCGGCGCGGCGACTACCCGGACCACCAGCAGTGGATGGGCCTCAGCGACTCGGTCCGCTCCTGCTGCCTCATCCCCCACGTGAGTCCAGTTCCCCGGGTCTTTCTGTGCCCTCCAGCCACACCAGAGCCCCAGATGTAGTTAGTATTCATCCTATGCGATGGTAGCCTTTTACTGGTTCTAACTATATTCTCTTTTCCTTTAGTAATGCAATGCTTCTAACTGGAATTTTTTTTTTTTTACTTTGTTAAAATTAAACTCACCTGTACTGGGAAAAGGTAGTGAGTACGTGCTGTTAGTTCAGAGTGTTTATGCAATAGGCGATGAATAAGTAACAGATCAAGTCCTTACTGTCAGGTGGACTTAAGCTGGTGACTCAGATTATGTCTCTTTCCTCATCTGTGAAATGGGGCTAATAAGAGTAGCTAATTCATAGAGCTGTGATGAGGATGAAAGGAGGGTACCTGGCACATGGCAGGCCTCCCCTTCCCCCAAATATAAAGTATTATTATTAACATCAAGAGTCTCTCAACCCCTGCCTGTTGATTAGGCAAAACAAGTAACGGACAATGTGACTCCAATGGCTCCTGCGAACTCCCCGGCGGCCTGGAATTCCAGTTAGTGACTCTCTAATTTGGCTATGACAGACTCCTGGGGAAAATGTACCCCTTTCCTGAAGTTTGAAACCTCCTTGGAGGGTTAATGCCTCGATAGGACCCAGACCGGCTTTAGGAGCCTGAAAACCTGGCTTCCCCTTTCCAGTCCTGACTCTTCTAATTACTGACTGCAAGCTCTGTCATTAGTTTCTCACAAAAGAAGAAAAAGCTTATAACTGTGCTCCACAGGTTTCGGGCTGTGGTGAAGATCAAGTCAGAATACGTACATGTGTGAGTCCTTTACACACCATGGACGATACATTATCAGCAATCTTTTATACTGCAGGATGAATTGCTTATGCGAACCTTTCCTAAAGAGGTTTTAATGGTGGAAGAAGGAAGACATTCAGACAATGGGTACCTGTTGGGAAGGAAGATTAAAAAAACCAAATACTCACAAACACACTGACAGGATCTGCTGAGGACAAACAGCCTAACTTTCCACTTCTTTAAAATTTATCGTCCCTTGACTGCACAGGCCTGCTTCTCGGTCTGGAACTTCCATTTTTGTTTATTATCTAAAGCAGATTCGCAGGAGCACAATATTACAGCTGCGACCTGAACTTAATCTTTATGATGGTGCTTGCTTCTCAGGACTTCAGAGCAGCAGGCTTGAAGCAGAAAGGAAGGGGATTGCCTGGTCTGGACTCTTGTCCAGAATTGCCACCAATCGGTGACCTCACATGGGGGAAAAGAAATTCAACTTCCTTCTCCCTTACCCTCTTCTAATGTTGTTGAGATTCAGAATGATACCCGTTCCCAGGGATCTTTTCTTTTTTATACTTAAATATTTAATTATTTTTATGTCATTCAAGGAGCATCTCAGTGCACCATAAGTCTATGAAGAAGAGAGCAAAAAATATATAAAAGTTGTTACTTAAGAATGGTACTAAATAGAGTGCATGCATACTTAGTGTAGCTTTTGATCCTAGAAAACTCTAGGGAGCGCCATTTGTATCTTGATCTGCATGAATGGTGCCCTCTTCAGTTTTGCAGTGAACAACCTACCCAAATGTACACAGCGGCCCTGGTGCTGGCTGTCTTTTTCATTTTTCACCTTTGATATAGAAAAGATAAAGACATACCTATCCACCCAGGTCTGTGTGCGATTGGTTACTAAAGGCTAGGTTTTCTGACTTTTCCTCCTGGGCTGATTGCCGAATCCACAGACCAGCTCCCACCGGATCAGACTCTACGAGAGGGAAAATTACAGAGGCCAGATGGTGGAGTTCACTGAGGACTGCTCCTTGCTTCAGGACTGCTTCCACTTCAATGAGGTCCACTCCTTCAACGTGCTGGAGGGCTACTGGGTCCTCTACCAGATGCCCAGCTACCAGGGGCGGCAGTACCTGCTGAGGCCGGGGGACTACAGGCGCTACCACGACTGGGGGGTCACGAGTGCCAGAGTGGGCTCTTTGAGGAGAGCCGTGGATTTCTACTGAAATATTTTTATTCTACCCTTTTCTCCTTCTGGAAGCTAATAAAATGTTTCCTGTGCGTTTCATGCAGTCCTGTAGGCCTGTTTTCCTTTCAGGCTCCTTGGAAGGGCTCAGCAAAAATAAAGCTGGGACTCATGTGGGCTCTCTTATATGTATTATCAGAAAGGGTGGTCTGGGGGGTAGCAGTTAAGAGCACAGCCCCTGAAGCCAGAATGCCTGCGTCCAAATCCACCTAATAGCTATGGATGGTAGAGCAAGTTATTTAGTATTTAGTATTTCTGTGCCTCAGTTTCCTGGTTTGTGAAATTTGGAATAATAATACTCTTCATCTCATAATGTTATGATGTGGATTTAATGAGTTATTTTAAAATCACACATTTTAGCTTTGCATATAGTCATTTCTAGGAAACTGTTCTATAAGACTCTTTAACTACTCTGGGCAAATATAGCCAAATCAGTGCCTTAATCATTTTTTAGCAGGATCACATGTTAGTATTTAGGAGAATAACCACATTTTACAAGAGTTGTAATGATGAGGGAAAAGTACAGGAAACTGCTAAAAAGATAAAAATGATAAGCACGGTAGAAAGTGAGAAAGAACAGTTGAGGGTCCTAAACTTGAGCATCCAATGATGAAGTGTCAAGAGAAATGAGAGCTGAATACAAACTGTACAATCCCTTTTTTAAAAGGTTACGGAGGGTATTGTGCATAAGGCTCAGTGCAAATGTTTAACAAGAGGACACAAGGTCTCATTAATACACAGGGGATTTTTTTCCTTCTTTTTATTCACACTCTACTTTTTCAACTACCGAACAAAAAAATCAGAGAAGATGGGGTCTAATTTGATAGTCCCTAAAATTTTAAGGATGTATATATGGTCTAGGAGGGAAGATCATTAAACTAGAGGGGCCTCCAGATGCCTCCTGTCCCATCAATGGTACTAACGCATCCATAGGCTTTTGCTAGGTCCAAGGAATAAATTCTTGCTCCAGATATGGGAAAATAGTAAAACCCTGCATTTCGGTTACAGAGGAATTTAAAAAGAGAGATGTTCCCTTCAAGATTCATGCCCTGAGATTTTTTGTAGAAATATTTGAAAATGTTTGTCAAATAGCTGAATGAGAGTAGCTTTTCATGGAATCTGAAAAATAAAACCTGGAGAATTTGAGAAATCCATGAACGACTTATTATCCTGTCCAGCAGAAAACCTAAATATTGCATGCTGTCCTTTGTGAACAAAATGCTAATAGACCAAAAGCAAATGAAAGGGCGTAGCAGAGAGGGAAACTTTTTTTTTTTAATCAGGTGTTGGTTTTCAAAACTCACTTCAAGTAAATTTTGTTTGGTTGGTTGGTTTATTTATTTATTTATTTTTTTTTTTTACAAGATGAGATCAATGTAAAGATTCCAGGATGTTTGTGTTGACATGCAATTATTTTTACCCTGACATATTTGTAGCTATAGAGAAAAATGCTGTCAGGCTGACTGACAAAATTCTCCACAGTCATGGAAACTAGAATTCTGATAAAAGATTCTGAATGTTGAGGTGATAAATTGTTTACAGCACTTGAGAGATAAAGAGTTACTTTTGTAAGAGCTATGTGTACTGATGAGTTTTATGAAAAACCCTTTGCCCTAGCCAGTAGAGGAGCTGAATGTTATATTTATTAAACGGAAGGAGAAAAATGGAAATGTCTGATTCATAACACATACACACTGAGAATACCTTAACTTTACAAGCAGTATTCTTTTCCCACAAGGGACTATACGTGATACATCGATACTGGTTATTTTCACTCACACATTTATGTCGGGTGTTAGCCAAATCAATTACAATATCAAATTGGAGAGGGAAAAAGGAGAATGAAATACAGAAAGAAGAGTAGGTTTGTCCACAGGACTCAGAGTTTATTTACAACTTTGTATTTTATATATTTACTCTGTGAAAAATGAAGGCCGTGAAACATTTTCTAAATGACTTTCTCAGAAACGCTCAGGCTCTATGCACACTTTGAACTCTCGTTAGTGGTCTTTTTCTGAGCATCAGTGTTGACTGAATGCAAAGAAAATGGGGGTTGGGATTTTTGGCATTCCAAACAAAATTCACTGAACATCATCAAGATAGTAGAGGGGTGCAAGTGAGGGTTTGTCACGTCTTTCATCTGATCCATCTATTTATCCTCATTTTATCATAATGTCCAAAAAAGGAAAAAAAAGATGGTCAACTGTGAGAATGTGGTTTTGATATCAAAGGATCAGATAACAATATTGATGATGATTATAGTAAAATAATAATAATTCAATTGAAAATATTGCTACTAACTGTAAGGACCATAATGCACATGCATTTTATTTAATTTATTTAACTCCTGCCTGTTTGCATTTTCACTTTTCCCTTCCTTCATGGATGATGCATCATTATGTTATCCCTGAAAGATCCAAGTTCAAAATTGAAACCAGGTAAGTATGAATATCTTTTAAAATTGAAACCTGATTATTTCTAGAGTGGTCCTCCTCAGTTACCAAATTTTATTCAGGGAACTTTTCTATTATTTTTATTTTTAAAAATTAGTTTCAGGTGTACAACACAGTGCAATAGTCATACTTTTTACCCCTCAAAGTGACAACTCCCCTCCCCCAATCCGCAGCCCCATGCCCCTCCCCCCACATCACACATATCTATTACAATTCCATTGACTCAACTCCCACACTATACTCGAAATCCCGTGACTATATATATATTCAATTATAGTTGACATACAATATTATACAACATCAGCTTCAGGTGTACAGTGCAGTGTGATCAAGCTATTCAGGCAACTTTTTGCAGGTTGTCATTATTTAGGCAAGTTTTTATGCATATTATTATTTCCTAAAAGAATACAAGTCTAATGTGAGAAATGCATTATTTTGGTAATGGAAGCTTTCACCTATTTAAGAATATTCTGTGAAAATGAAAATATTTCTGCTTGGGAGTGTTGTTGAATAACGTACTAAAGTAATACTTGATCAAAAGTAACTTAGTGAGGAAAGTGGGCACTGAAAGAGACAGTGTTAAATACATGATTGTTGAAAGGGGAGGGGTGTGTCGATCTGAAAAAAAAAATCTGTATGAATCTGAAGTCTTGCCTAGGTCTTACCTGTGATTAGGAAGAGAATGGGCACTGTGTGACACCTCCACATAACAAAAGGCTCTGGCAGATAATGGGGAGAGGTGCAGCCCCAGGTCACTGGAGATAATAGAATTTACTGTGTCTCACTTGTAACTAATTCAAAAGCTCCTTCTACTGTTTACCTTCTCACATTCAGAAAGACTTTATGGCTTTTTTTTGTTGGTGGTGGTGGTGAAGAAAACTGGACCTCTATGACTTAATACCCTACAGATAGCTTTAGACTTTATTCTCAGGGGTACTGCTCATTTTCTATGGCATGAAGGGAACAAAAAGTGACTTTTTTTCCTTAATAGATAAAGATCTATAAGTACCCTTATTCACATCTTCCACCATTTTTTTTCAAAGATTTGTAATATCTGTTTCTGAAAGGAATTGAGGTGATTTAGAGATTAAAATACATGAGGGACGAGGCATTTAATTCTAAAACAAACCAGATTTTATTTGAAGTAAACAAAATGCACTTCAGTTGAGCAGATCTAGGGGCAGTGAATTCATTGTCTCCAAGCTCTCTGGCATCTGCAAATAAAGGAATCATAATGGGCTGCATAGTTTTTATTTTCTGACAACATAAAGTAAGTTCATTCATCTGTAGAAGTAAATTTTGGCTTAGACTGAAACCCCAGCTTAAATTTCCCATAGGGACCCTTGTTTACAAATGGAGGGACTTTGTGCTGGAAAATGCACACCCGGGAGAAGGTGGTGTGCAGGGGACAAGAGGATGCTGTCCTTCATCAGGTCAAATCAACTGTGCCAGGAGCTACAAGACTTGGAAACTTGGAAAAAACACAAAGTAACTATTACAACTCAGTAATAAAAAGACACTTGAGTTAAAAACAGATGAAAAGACCTGAATAGATTATATACAAATGGCCAATAATGATATGAAAAGATATTCAACATTATTAGTCATCAGGGAAATGCAACCCAAATCCCCCATTAGACACCACTACACACTCAGTTGGGTGGCTATAATTTAAAAAGGCAGAAAATAACAAGTGTTGGAGAAGTTATGGAGAAATTGGAACCCTCATACACTGCTGGGAGGGAGGCAAATGGTACAACTGCTTTGGAAAACAGCCTGGCACTTCCTCAAAAAGTTAAACATAGATTTACCACATTACCCAGAAATTCCAAAGCTAGGTGTTTGCCCAAGAGAAATGAAAACGAATGTTCACATTAAAAAAAATTGCAAACAAACATTCATAGCAGCATTATTCATAATAACCTAAGATGGAAACAACTCATGTGTCCATCAACTGACGATGGATAGACAAAATAGATTTTCATACAATGGAATATTATTTGACAATAAAAAGAAGTAGTACGTGCTACACATGATGAACCTTGAAAACATTATGTTAAGCAAAAGAAGCCAGTCACAAAGGATCACACTTGGTATGATGCCATTAATAGAAAAATTTCAGAACAGACAAATTTATGAAGACAAAAAGTAAATTGGTGGTTGCCTAGGGACAGGGCGAATGAGTGAGGGGTGGCATGTGAATTATATCTTAACAAATCTGTGAAACAAAAACACAGAGGAAACCTTCAGGGTATATGGCTCACAATGCCACATACAAAGTAATCTTGGAATTTTTAAAACCAATTTTGTCTTTTCTTACGAATGCCATTCTTTAATTTCCTGCTTTACAATAGGATTTTACATTTGATCCTTTAGCAGTGAAGTTGATAGAAAGGTAATTTTTCAGAAGAAATGGATGTGCAGAACATACACGTGGTTTCCACTAAACCCTACACAATCAGTAACAGATGTGCAAACAGAAGCCTGGTTTTCTGATTTTCAACCTAGGAGTTAGTCTCTTAGCAAC